AGCATTAGTTTAATAATATCTACTCATTCTTCACTCACTGATTAACGGCAGTCAATTTTTTATTTTAATATTTAAATAAAATAAAATACAGATAGTATTAAGAGGTGCATATGTACCTATTAAATATCACTTAAGTGATTTAATTCAATCTCAAGCTTACCGAACTAAGTGGAAAATAATCAAAACAGCCGATTTTGATGACTCAATGTCAAAAGATTATGGGACGTAATTGAGTATACAGAATGATAAATAGTAGCGCAACAGATTGTAGCTAAACCTTATATAGTTTAATTATGAATTGACGTAAAATAAATGTGAGAATAGAGCAACGTGTATTATGAATATAAGTAGGAGTGCACATATGTCACGTTACTCAATTGGAAATTATTCGAAACGTGCTTATCACTTAACGCTACTCATTCAAATGTTATTTATTGTCAGTCTTTGATAAGAAAGTAAGATTTGTGATTTGATTTGCAAGGATGAGATTTTTTTTTTTGAAATAAAATAGAACGTGAATTATTTTCAATGTGATTTTACATTCTTCTGAATCAATTCAATCAATAACATGTGAAGTATACAAAGCTTATAGCAGTTATATTACATTTAGTGCATAAATGACGTATCTGTCTCGTACTAAACTAGTCACTAAAATAAAATAATGCTTATCAGAATTATTTTCCAGATTGTCTTAATTACTTTCACTAAAGATATTTGTCAAGTTTTCGCTTACTGCTTATGATCTTAGAGTTTTATAGAGGCTATATAAAAAAAAAACTTTCAGACGCCTATAATATAGTAGTCACTCGTTTACAATAAGCAAGTGTCATTCATCTTAAGAATTCTAACAATTCATTCGAACGTTGGAATGACTTAGGTTTATCCAACAGTTATCGTAATTGAAGCGATCAATACAGAAGGTGGACATGTACCAATCAATATGTGTTTTCATTTTATTTTATGTTTTACTATAACTTTACTAACAGATGTAGTAGATATAAAAGAAGACTAAAATATTGTGCGAAATCGCTACAATTCGTTTTTTTCTTCAACTTTCCCTTCATCCAAGAATATAACGAAATGTAACGAAATAGATTTCTTGTCGATATGATAAAATTAAGAAATTATATGAAATCGTTTTGAAGATGAGGTATCCATAATACATTTGGATTAAGATCTATAACCAGCCACATAGCTATTAATCCGTAATAGAAGGGAATCACAAATCAAAAGGGCTAAAATTGGTATGTGTATTTAGACAAAAGTACAGCAAGCAATTTAAACATGACGAATAAAATTGTGATTGAGTAAATGAGGATAATGAATTATTATTGTACCCCGAAGATCTGCAGATATGATCTTTATGGGAGTTTAAAGCGGCACTTTGTCGTCATAGTTGAAGAATAGCTCTGGCGACTGTTGGAACCTTTGGTGAGTAGTCATAGTTAATAAATGATGATATTGATGATCCTGATCCCTTCAGATACATACTGATCATGTTTCGTTTAAACAATCTGATCATGTCACCACATTATATTATAGAACAATCTTTAATCTTATTGTTGTATCCTCCGGCATACGGGGAAAATGCCATAGCTTTAATCTTTATATATATAATATAATTGTTATAAGTTTCTGTGTAACAACAAATACAACAAATTTAAAATGAGGTAAAATAAGGCTAATACTACTACTACTATATACTATATATTTTACTGGTAATTTTTTTTCTATTAAAGAAATGTACGTTTGTTATAAGATCAAGAGTTTTTGAATTATTCTCATATATTTTAGTCGCAAAATATTTATTAATATGATTCACTTTGCTTTATAATCGTCAAGGTATTTTACATACATACATAACGAGTTTAAAGATAATTATGCATATATGTAAAAGTATATCTTTTGTTTTTAGTTCAAAAATAATCAGACTGATTAAAGTATAAAGCAAAATAAACAAAATAAATTAGTTTCAACAAATTTTCTTACTAAAAAATTCTAGTTACTAAAATCGCAATCGTCACATATGTTAAACTAAGCAAATATAATCTCTTATCTGAAATGTAGTTAAAAAGCCCCTTCTCTACAACGCTTGAGTAGGTAAGGAGGGCGCGACTCAGAAATGCTTTACGATAGTTCCCGCTAATAATGGAATAATGGAATGATGAAGAATGATGGACAAAGAATTATGCAAAATAAAAAATTATGAAGCCGCAACGGGAAAAAACTTGTTTGCTTGTATTTATTGTATTTCTGAGATAAACTTATTTGAATGTTTGAATGATTGAATGGCACTGAGAAGAATGAGCAATGGCGCAGATATTTCGCAAAATACATAAAAGATAAACAAAACACATAAGATTTAGTCAGTATTGTCAGCTTACCATTTCGAAATATGTTAAAAAGTTTTGCCAATCCTTTTCGTTGCCAAACACTCCACCATTTTGCTGTTCCTGTTCCCCATTGCCATCGCCGTCGCCATCGCCGCATCCCCCACGTAACGCCGGCCGAGCCGACAGCACTCATCAGTTGGGCGTGTGACTAGAGTTGAGTGCTGACACCGATGTTGCCGAATCGTCAGCAGAGATTGTATTATCGCCATAAAAGCGCGGCTCATCATGCATCTCGGCGCCAGCGCCACTCTCGTCGTCAGAGTCATCGTCGCCCGAGCTGTCGGCTAACTTTCCAGTTCCGCCAGTACTGCTCGCATTCGATAATTGTGAATTGCTCGCCATTGGCGTTTTGGACGATTCATCTTTGACTACTTTGCTGAGACGTTCATAGCAAGCCGTACACACACGCAATGGCTTCGAACTCTGCTGTGGCAGTAGGAATTTCTTCGACGAACATGGACCACAAACGACTGCACCGCAATTCCGGCAATGGTGACGTCGCACAATCATTGTGAACTGCGTCTTTTTACAGTGCATGCAGACAGTTGCCTCCGCATCCGGAACCCAAACGGCTGCGTGCTTCTCAACAGGTTTCTTTCCACTTTTGCGCAAAAGATCCTCGACGCATTTGTTTATATGTGCCATCCACTCCTGTTTCTCGGTGATTGTTGCAGCATAGACCACAAACGACTTTGTTGTTGTTCGTATCAACCACCCATTGTGGTATTGGCCATTGTCCTCGAGCGATTCCAATGATACTTCTTCGAGCGGCATGATATGTTGTTTATTATATTTTTTCTTGCCAATCACGATGTTTCCGTACACGAGTATGTCGTTAAAGAGAAAAAATTGACGCGATTTCGGACGTTTACGGCACATTTTTGTTAACACACCCTCGCCCACAAGCACGCGTCCAGGTATTGCCAAAGGCACGCCAGAACTGCCGAAGCAGCTCTCCACGGCCGCTATGCGCCGAGTATTCGCCTCAGAGTTAACCAAACGATCGACCATGGCTAATGCACTGCCTACTCAAACAAAAATAAAAACAACCGACAGCGAGTGTGGCTGACGAACGATTCAATTCCTTAATAATTTTTCTGGTCCAAAGGTTTTTGTATTTTACTTTCTGCTATCCGTATTTTATTTAATTTTTATATAATTTTCAATGCTTTCTCATTACGAGCGGAATTTTTTTTTGTAGCGCGTATAATTTTTTTAGTTAATTTTTCATTAAATTATTTTCTGTTAAATAATTTTCAACAATTCTTCTTTCGAAAATAATGTCGTGTCACACTCAATTTCAAAGCAAAAATGCTCAAAGCAACAGAAAATATAACTACGGCAGTATTTTTCTTTCCGTATTATTTCTGCTTTTCACACTCAAATCTTGTACTTTTACACTCAAACTTGACATTTGTCATTAAGTGTTGCCTACCTTTTTAATTTTTATTTTACTCGCTTTTGCTTTATTTTTGCGTCTCTTGTAATGTTTTGGTTTGAGTTAATTACGATTCTTATATTCGTTTTCATGAATCACCTATTTTAATAATTTATGATCGTTTGTATATTTTTGTGATCGAAAGTTCACATTAACTTGTCAAGTTGATTATTTTTTAATAGAATTTTTATTAATATAAAGTATACATTGAATGTATACGCAAAATATCAAAAATACATGAAAAATATTTACATGTTGCAACAACGAAATGCACTCAAAGTTTGAAGAAAGTGCAGAAAGAAAAATAAAACCGATTGGCAAAATGCAAAAGCAACAGACCAAAAAAAGTACTCAAACAGAGTCAAGTGTAAAATTAACCAACGAAATGCGAAACATTCTGGAATATGCCGAATTCCGTTGATCGCTAATTAAAAACTAATGACATAAAATACAACCATTTTATATGAACTCATATAAGCAAAAGAGCAAAGGTGCTTATTACCAAACCATTAGCATTAAAAATATATATGCTAACTTTATAATTATGTCTATACACCGTATATGTCAATATTTATATATCATAAATATCCATACAAAATAGGCCTATTATTAATTTAAAATAAAAAGTTGCATATATTTCCCTATATATATATTATCTACTTGTATATGAATCGATAACGTAAATTATATATCGCATATATCTAACTTTTAATATAATAAATATGAGATATATAAATAGAAGATGTATATATAGTCATTAAGAAGCATGAACCTTATTTTAATATTAAAGTTACTCGACTTAGTTACTCGAGCACCTGGTGCACAATTTATATATCTGATTTAAATTCTGCATTGGATTGTTCAAGAACAGATTACTGGCGAAAATACAACTTCGAATAGAAATGTTACATGTGAGATAAGTTAAGCTGTATCTGAAAGTTATATACATATGTGTTTGTAAAAATTCAAATGTCAGAACTAGAATGTATAATGAAGCAACTTAGGTGGTAATTTCAAGACTATTGTAAAATTTAAATATATTATTTATAATATCACTTCAATAATTTGGACAAGACATTTCATAAATTTACAAACGAACTACGAAAACAAACGAACAAGCACAAATGTTTCTATCAACCACTTCGTCAATTCGTTTGTTTTATTCTTACAATTTCTACCTGTTTGCGGCGCTCCTCCATTCTTTGTTCTAAACCCTCATCATATTGCTTGCGTTCTTGTCGTCGTTTATCTGACTGTAGATTAAATGGACGCTGTTCCATTATTGTTATGGTCTTTTTTGGCACAAATGGTTCTTCTCTTAGTACAACCGGTGACCTATACTCGAATTTAGGTGGTCGTTGTTGACGTTTAAATATTTCTAACTGGAAATAGACAATTAGATTTTTTCGAAAAAGAAACATGCATTTCAAACCTTATTCATTTTTTTCTCCATCATTTCGCGAGAATGCTTTAAAACGTCTGGTGACTGTGGCACTGTTATCGCATGCACTATATGGTTTTCTAGCTTTGCATGAGCTGCTTTAAAATTAGGTACAGGTCGGCTATGGAATTGACGGTTCTTACGCTCATTTTCTATGCACATGCGTAATTTTTCTTCCTTTTTTTTCTGATAAATATCCTTATAACTGTATAGATCTCTTAATCTGCTCGATGCATTTTCATGCTGATTCGCTCCTTGTTTTTGAAAGGACCATTCGAGAACAATATTGCTAAGTTTTTTTGTTACATCGAGACTAGAATTGGGTGATTGCTGCATATCTGATTTGGTTTGACTACTTGGCTCAATTTCATTTAAACCATGTAACTTATTTACGTTAGAATCCGTTTCAAATGTAATATTGGCTGCAGACGAATCTTCCACATTAATTTGTAATGTATTATGTTCATATTTAGAGGCATTTTCTTTGTTTTCTTCAATTAACCCGACTTTAGGTGTGTCATTGAGTGAAGTGACATCGAATTGGCTCACAATATTGTCCAGATTATTGGATGGTATGTATGGACTAGTCTTTGTTGATTTCTG